AGGTATAGTAAACTTCTTATAATTTGATAAGAAATATTAATATTCAAATATATATTTAATATCAATTCCAATATTTAAAACTTGTCTTTCTAAAAGGAAGATCCTTTAGAGCATCTCTTATACAGACCAAAAAATAAAAACAAAAAACCAACCAAGTCAAAAAAATAAAAAAAATTCAGTTCCCCACCAGAAAGTAATATTTATATGAAGGATCTACAATCATTTGTACTTGCAAATAACGAGATAAATAAACATATAATAGTAATGTGATATTCTAAAAATCCATCTTGTTACTCTTAAGACAATCACGTTAAAGTTTTAATACTGTCACTTCTAAAAATTAAATGCTTAATCTCATTTTTAATGCTTATTTGAAATAAAGTGGTATTTTACTACTGATTTCCTTTGGTGTTATGAGATTTGGGGCTACAAAATTTCAGCAAGTTATAGTTTGAGCTCTAATTATGTGCCAAAATTAGTTGCCTGGCATACAATGTTTCAAAGTTTGCTGAATTAAAAACAAAACAAAACCAAAAACCCCCACGAAACTATATGTATGACAATTTTTTCTAAAATGTTTTTTCTAGTTATAATCAGACCAAAAATCTGTGTCTTCTAAAAAGGGGTTAAAAAGAAATTAATATGTGACTTTTTAAGCTTTATTAGACAAAAGAAAAAAAAGACGAGCCAATTTTAGGTAATATTTTAAAATAAGAGAAATTTTTATAGAATAATTTTTCGAAACTATAAATTTATAATCTTTTGAAGAAAACTAATGTGTCATATATAAGAATTATCTAATACAGTCTCTAGGAATTTTTTTTCATTTTGTAAACCAAATCAACTGACCCATATTTCTGGCTTTAAGTATTCTGTGACATTCTAAATAGTTACTACCTACCAATAAACAAACAAACAAAAATATATACAAGTCTCCACAAAACAAAAAAACAAACTACATAAAGCATGATGAAACTAGGAATTCAGATTATGAAAGCTACTTAAAAATTTTTATCCTTAGCTGTAGTTCATGCAAAACATTAAAACTGATATTAATCTGATTAGAAAAAATATGCAGTGTTACATACAAACACCCGAGGCTACATTTTGTAAATGTACAACTAAGGTTAACAGCATTTTTTTTAAAGTCTGTAATTGCACTTTTATTTGAATTTTTAAAAATAGTGTGGAGGTAAACAAATGAAAATCAATGCTACCAGAAAGACTGATACCTTACCCTCTCTAGTCCCCTTTCCCCCACAATATGTAAACATAGCTTTAAAAAGAGGTGACCTATTATAGCAACACCACACCCCGCAGTTGCTTTCCTATGGTAATAAATGACTTTACTAGTCCTTATAATACAAATTACAGCTGTCAATTTCTACAGAAAAATATGGATAAGTGCACATAAACATTAAAAAATACACATCTGTTGTACCTTATATCTATATGCCCACAAATCTAAAACCAACATCTTCCTCTTATATAGCATCACATAAAAGTGAAAAGATTTTGAATGCTGTGGATTTTATTTAGGCGCTAGTGTATTCTCAAGTTTGAAGTGATGTATTTTAAATAAAGGAATCACTCACTTCTTTTAAAAATGGCTTATTAAACAAACAATCCTTTACCCATTACCCCCTAAACAAACAAAAAAATCCCATAAACCAAAGTGCTAAAAATGTATGGTTATACTTAACCAGCCTGGTGGAATTTAAAGCTTGCCCCCAACTCGCCCCAAAACTCACATAATTTGAATGAAAATACAAAACTCAAAACAAAAACCATCAGTAAAAAGCAAAACCCAGGAGTTCTGGTACTTTAGGTATAATTACGTTTAAAATAGAAATGAGATCTCCTACAATTTCATTAAATCAAATTTTATAGAGAAGATAATTAGCACTTTTTATGAAATTTTCATAAGATGACTCAAAATAAATAGCTCTGAACAAAGGTAATGAAAAGGGGTCTGTTATCACAATTCTTGTTATGAGGGCAGTACAAAATGGTATGAATTATAAACTCAGCCATTCCACTCACTAATATAAATTATATTTACAGCCCTACAGAGATTTATAAAAGCCATAAGATTTTTTATTTGAATATTTTTTAACAATGCGTATTTGACTTAATGCGAACATACACACTATAAGCTTCAAAATTTTAACTACTATTCATAAAAGAATATAAACTTCTATTAAATTAAAACAATTCTTTCTTAAAGTATCTACAGCTGTTTATCAGTGAGGTTACCGCTTTTCTTTGAAAACCACACCTGCCTTTTATCAAGATGCAATTAAATAGAATGACAAGCTCGGTAATAAATGGAAATATATTGACGGCTATCTCAAGCAACATCGAACAAAAATCAACTGAAAATCAACCACATAAAAAACAGCACACTGACACTGTTGTATACAATAGATTTCTTCATAATGAATTTATCAAAGGAACGAAATAATATATACGCACCTGTGCTTACCTGTTGTCTAAATTAACATGAATGTCTTGTAAATTAAAGTTTTAGTTCACTGCAGTTACTGAATTAACAAAATGTCTATTTTCACTAGATGCGAAAAGTTTTTTTAAACAAGATGTTCAATTTTTATGGAAAATGTTGAAAAGATCATTCGTGAACATTAAGAAAATTAAAGTTTATTTGCATCAAAATAAAAGAAACAACTGTCCGGTAATCTGCATCCAACAAATATATGTAGTTTAAGGTGAAAAAGTCCTATCAAAGGAAAAAAACTAAATATTTCACTCAGTTTTTAACCAATAAAGAACAGTGACAAATATATAAATGTCTTGTAATTTCAACCAGCAGAAACATAATTTTGCGAAAACAGCCTCTTCAGTTTTACTTTTAATATACATTTGAGAACTACACGAAAATCCTTTCTGAGAGAAAAAAACTATTAAAAACCAACTTTTTTTTCTAAACTCTCGTCCTAACGTTTCGTAGCTATTTCCGTGGTTCTCTGGCTAAAAGTATAATTTTTCGTAAAGTCGAGAATTATAAACTAGCGTTCAACATTCAAACCCCCCAAGGCCCGCTTCCTTCCAGCCAATCAGGGGGTAACAAGTCCAGAGTTTAGGGAGCTCCGTTAGACACAATTTGAAAAACATCACACTGCACTCTTCTATTCTCCTCCGGGAAACATTCTAAGCGAGGGCGGGTCCCCTAGTCTTCATAGAATATAAAAAATAAATCAATCGTTATATCAATTCCAGGGGGAAAAACTGTAGGCAGGCAGTCCTAAAGAAGCGTGTCACTGCGGTTCCCAGGAAGCGTTATTCCTCTTTGCGAACAACTGAACAGAATAGCTGCTGCAAAAAGCATCTCTGGAGTATTTGCAACCCAGAGCCGTGCGCCCGACACGCAACACACCGGCAAAGGGTTAATGTAGTGGTGCCTCCAGCGCGGAAAAGAACTCAAGATCTAATACATCCTTAACGCGGGATTTTTACAAAGGCCATAAAAGTATTACCTAAAGTTAATGCCGTCACTGGCTCACATTACTCAAGAGCTGTGGAGTAGGAATTGATAGAAACCACCAGCTAAGGGGGGAAAAAAATCACCGAAGGGAAAGACAAATAACAACTCTCGTCCCTCCTCCGCAGCGTCAAGAAAAGGTGGGGATCGCAAAATTACCGTTAAGTTGTCCGGGTAAAGACTTTTGGGGGAGGAAAACATCAATAGTTTCACAGATTGCTTTTTTCTTTGCGAAATGTTTCAAACACCGGAGAAGAAAAAAGTCTTCTAAGAAAAGTGCGACTCGGAGGAAATAGCCAGAAGGAAATCGCTAGCTCGAAGCCCCATCTTTCATCTCACCCGTGAACACCCCTCCCCCTTGAGAAAGGACAACGCTGCGAGAGCAAATGACAAAAATCCCCAGAAAGAAGCTAAAGTCCAGCATCTTCTTAAGAGCCCGCTACAACCTCAAATGCCTGCCCCTGCCCCATCTTGGAAGCGCGAGCCGCGGCCAGTCCTACCTACCTAGAGACCTCACCGGGACCCGGCGCGCCGGGGGAGGGCAGCCAGGGCTTGGGAAACTCTCTTTCCTGGGGCACCTCACCATTTAGCGTCAAAAGACAATATAGATAGATGGGTGCCGGGCGGTGGCGGGGGGAACTGTTGCCACGACCCACCGGAGGGACCCATGACTCCGGGTCCTGAAATTTCTGTCGACCTTAAGTTTCTTGTCACGAGATGACGGCCATCACCGGGTCGGGAAAAAGGCGAGAAAAGGCGGCCCGGTTCGGAAATGGGGGAGGGGCGCGCGTCCAGTCCTCCTGTCAAGGAGCGGCCGCCTGCAGAGACCCCGCCGTGCGCCGTCCCCAGCTCCGGTCCCGGGCGGGGGGTCTTGCTGACAGATCCGCTGGGCGGCGGCTGCTCCGCCGCAGCCGGTCCAGGTCCCGCTCAAACTGCAGCTCCCCTCCCCCCACAGCCCCGTCTCTCTGCGCTCCCGCCACATTCCGCTGGCCGCCGCCCACTTGCAGACGCCCAAGTTGCCCCTAACCCCACTTCCTCGGATTTTTCGCGATTGAGAGCAGACCGTGCGCCCACTCCCTGCACCCCCCACTGCCTCCGGGTCCCACCACTGCCACCTCCCAAGTCCCGCTCTGCTACTTCTTCAGGCTCTTACCGACTGCGCCAGCCTTGGCGAAGCTCCGCCGACTGCCCTTTGCTCCAAGTAATTTTTGGTGATTTTTAAAGTAATTTTTCCGGCGGAGTCACAGTGGCGCTATACTCTCGGACAGGTTATCCTGTCTCTCCCGCTAGATTGATGAGATCAGGCATCACTCGAAAATGGCGCCGAAAGCGCTGAGGCTCCTCATTCAAATTCGTTAGAGCCAACCCCGCCGCCCCGGGGCATGCCGGGAACGCGGGCTGCCTCCACAGCTGTCAATACCGCCTCTTAACCCCCACTTCTCTTGCTTTCCCGACATTTTCGCGCATGCGCAAACTCCAACTCTCGCTCTCCTCCCGCCGTGCACATGCGCAGAATCATCGTTGTGCGCGGCTCTCCCTTTGCTTCTACGGTCGCAATCCTCTTGCTTCTTTTATTGCGCGTGCGTGTAGCGCTTTTGCAAAGACTCGGAGGTGAAGTGAAGGTAGAGGCTGTGGGGCCGAGGGTCCACTTATAGCTATCAGCCCACAGGCATTTAGTCTACGTTGGAGGTAAACAAATACGGGTCCAGCTTAGGAGAAAAGAAAAACGTCTTACAGCCAGTGTCTAAACTCCAAACAACGGAATGTATCAATGAGACCTTGCATATGGATACACGTGCATTTAAAACGGCCCCGCCGGCGTGTAAAGCTCTTGCCGTTTGCCAGCGCTTTACCGGGGTTATCGCACTTAAGCCTCGGAACAACTTTACCAGGTAGGAACTGTTACTGTTCTCGTTTTGAAGACCAGGAAACCTAGGCTCAGAGACATTAAGTAATTTGCCCAAGACAGCACAAGTGGCACAGAAGTGGATGAATCCACATCTGTCAGATTCAGCAGCCCTGGAGTTCTCTACCACGCTGTATGCTCCAACCTGAGCCCACACAGGAGGCGTGGTCTCCTTCCTCAATGGGGTGTGTGTGTGTGTGTGTGTGTGTGTGTGTGTGTGTGCGCGCGCGCGCGCGCGCGCCTGCCTGCCTAGAGTTAATGATTAAGTTTGCTGAAGCCCTTCTTTCCGGTCCTAAGCTGCCTATTGCGAACGCGCTTTCATTGAATCCAGTTTCTCCTACGTCTTAACTTGTTCTTAAACTTTTGAGATAGGAATGGGCAGTTTTCTGTGTCACTTGGGATTTTTTTTGTTTTTTTTTAATGGCATGGTAAGTGAACTGAATCCAGCAAAGACAAGAGAACTGAATCCAGCAAAGACGAGTTTCTGTTGTGCAACGCATTGGTAAACTGACAGCTACCACGTATTGACTGTGTGCTGTGCACTGTGCTAAATAAATGATTTACGGATTAATCGTGTTTATTGCTCACAACAACCTTATGAAGTAGGTATTATCTTCGCTTTACAGATGAGGACACCTGAGGCTCAGATTAAGAAATCTGCCCCAAAGTCTTAGAACTGGTAAGTAGAAGCACCATATCTAGGCAAACCTGTCTACTTTAAAAAAAATGGGCACTCTGATAGGACAATTAACGATAATAAAGTTGTAAATATTTTAAAACCTTCATTGTGAATGTTAAATAAGACAGTAGATATGAAAGTGCCTGAAGTACTAATAAGGAAGTGGGAGAAGGGTAGCATGGTTTGCATTATTGAAGTGTATTGGAAAAGAAATGGATTTTAGCAATTTGAGATCAAGAAGTAACATGGCAGAGTAGTATAAATAAACTACTTAATCTCTGGTACTTTTGTGCACTACTTAAGTGGGCTTGACTCTGGAACCGAACTGCCTGGGTTTGAATCCCAGCTGCACTACTTACTAGCTGTGTGGCCTTGTTGGGTAAATTATCTGTTGGACTTTTTGTAAAATAAGTATTATTAACACCTCATTGGATTGTTGTAAGGATGTAAATGAGCTAATATTAAAGGAATTTCAACAGTGCTTGGCATATTAGTAAATGTTATTGTCAGTCAGTCATTGATCTTTTAAACTGGCTTCTTTAATGGTTGTTTAAAAAAATCATACTACAGTTAGTTAGTGCAATTAGGGGTCAGCATTTTTTTTTTTTTTTTCTGAGAGGGAGCCTCACTCTGTTGCCCAGGCTGGAGTACAGTGGCACGATCTTGGCTCACTGCAACCTCCGCCTCCCGCGTTGAAGCAGTTTTCCTGCCTCAGCATCCCATGTAGCTGGGATTACAGGTGCGCGCCACCACGCCCGGCTAATTTTTGTATTTTTAGTAGAGACGGGGTTTCACCATATTGGCCAGACTGGCCTCTAACTCCTGACCTCTCTGTCCGCCTCTGCCTCCCAAAGTGCTGGGATTACAGGCGTGAGCCACCACACCGGTCGGGGTTAGCATTCTTTTTCAAGAGCTCCTTAAAATGATAAATCAGACTGACAAATGATTTTTCCCAAATATGAATAATGATCCCTGTTAGGCGAATAAGGATGTTAATTTATTTTACCATCTCATAATACATGGAAATGGAATAGATTTATTGCTTTTTCTGATTGTTAAAGTTAAAAAACCCAGGCCCATCTAAAATATATAAAGTAAAAGTCATCCAAATTTCTAGCATCCAGGGATAACTACATATTGTTTATATTTTAAAAATATAACGTACCTTTGGGGACAATCAGTTGGGGGGGTCTGGATAAGTGGCATATTTGGGAGACATCTGTAAAATTGTAATAGAACTTACACATAAGTAAGTAACACAATCTGGTTTCCTCACTGTAGAATTTTTTATCTTAGTCCCCTTCTAGATATAATCTGTTAAGAGAATTCTAAAGTGATGATGATAAATGATAACATTTATTGAAGACCTAATATGTGGCAGACACTGGGATAAACAGGTACATGCATTTTCCCATTGAATCCTCATGTAACTCATGAAGTGGGTGCAATTATCTCTATTTTGCAGAGACTGAAGTTTCTGTGGAAGTCATTTTTAGAAGATTTACGTCCAATTGTGTTTAAAGTCTTACGAAAAATTCTTTCATGAAAGCTTCTTGATTTGCTAAAATGGGAGAAAACAAAACCAACTAACATACAGTAGTTCCTGTGCCTGAACAGAGAGCCCAATTGTAAAAAATGGTCTTTTGAAAACTAAGAAATTTATGTTTGACCACAAGGGGGTGCAAATTCCTGAGTTACATTTCAAAGAAAAAACGGAAAAAGTGCTTTTACTTCAGACCATTAAATTCGTGGGTTAAAAACTAGTAAGAATTCCTGCCTGGAACTTTAATACCCTAAAAGTAATGTACTTTATAAGAAGAAAGAACTCAATTACTTAGGTGCTCAATTAGGGCAGAAGTGTCAGCTTGCTTTCTTCAATACAGTCAAGAGTTAATCATCCCTCCCCTACCCCTTTCCACTCACAGTTAGTGTCTCTGCATACCCCTCTTTACTTGTCATAGGAGTAGAACTGAAGTCATAATTTAAAATCTGGGGTTTTGCTCTTGGAAACTGAAATGCAGTCACCAGCAAATGGATGGTAAATATGGGTAGTGTGAAGAACAGAGGTCTTGTAATTTCTATGCTTTTTTTCCCTCCTGCTGTTTATAATGAGTAAGCTACAATTGATGCAATGTTGGCTTCAACATATTAACTTATTTAGATGAAACTGTGAAAGCTATAGGTCTGTTCATCTTTCAAGAAAGAACGCAGACTTTGAAACAGTATATACTATTGAATGTATTAAAAAGTTTGCTTAGCAGGGTTTTCGGGTTCCTTTTATTTTCCTGTTGGTCTTGTTTCTCTGAGATGGACTTAATTTAAAAAATACATCTTTTTTTTGGAAATAATTTCAAATTTACAAAAAGTTACAATATTAAAAAGAGTTCCAAGAACATCCATATCATTTTCTTGCACTTGTACATGGGTGAGTTTTCTTTCTCTCTCTCTCTCTCTCTCTATACACAGTCTATAAAAACACACAGAGGAAAAATGCAAGAAAAAAACTTTCAATCCATATCAAGGTTTTATGATTATAGTTAAAAATATACACATCAAAAAGCCAATCTAAAATTTTGCATTGTTGACACTGCGAAACCATTCTTTTAAGGAACATTGGTGTTCTATGAGCTAGTCCGATTTTTTTTTTTTTAAGAGACAGGTTCTCTCTATATTGCCCAGGCTGACTTCGAACTCCTGGACTCACGTGATCATCCCGTTCTACCTTCCGAGTAGCTGGGGCTGTAGGCAAGTGCCACTGCACCCAGCTCAGTGATTCTTAAACTTTGAAAATTTGTTGAAAGTTATAGACCCTTTCTCTAGAATCATGCATATATGTGAATAGTTTGCATATAGTTTCAGAGGTGGATGATGGTCCATGGAGTTCCTGAAGAAAAGTAAAGAAAAAATCATTCATACATATAGTAAGCAGAATAATGGTCTACCAAAGATATCCAAAGATGTACATGTCCTAATCTATGGGGGATTTGTTAATATGTTACATGGTGAGAGATAATTCAAGTTTCAGATAAAAATTAGGGTTGTTACTCAGATGATCTGAAAATAGATTATTCTGGATCACCTGAGGAGGCCTAATTACATGGTCTTTTAAGTGTGTAAAGGGGAAGCAGAAGAATCCGTGTCAATGATGAGATGTGAGAAAGCCATTGCTGACTCTGAAGGTGGAAGGAGGCCATGAGCCAAAGAATAGTTCATGAGCCCTAGAAGCTGAAAAAGGCAAGAAAACAGACTCTTATGTAAGGCAGCCATGCCTACATCTCTATTTTAGCCCGCTAAGACCCATTTTGAATTTCTGACCTCCAGAACTGTAAGATAATACATTTCTGTTGTTTTAAGCCACTAAGTTTATGGTAATTTGTTTATGGTAATTTTATGGCATTAGGAAACTAATAAAGGATGTGAAAAGTCATTTTGTATGTATGTTGATGTGTGGTTATGGTAGTCATTAAGTGTGTATGTATACATATATATATTTTTTAATACCACCTAGGTATTTTTTTTTTTTTTTTTTTTGAGGTGGGGTTTCTGTCTCCTAGGCTGGAGTTCAGTGGAGTGATCTTGGCTCACTTTAACCTCTGTCTCCTGGGCTCAAGTGATCCTCCCACCTTAGCGTCCTGAGTAGCTGGGACCACAGGTGCCTGCCACCACGCCCACCTAATTTTTTGTATTTTTTGGTAGAGGTGGGGTTTCGTCATGTTGCCTGGGTGTTCTGTACTTTTTTTTAATGGATTAACAAATCCATAAAAAGTACTTCTTTATCTTTTTTAAAGGTCTGTGAAGTGTCAGACCTCAAGATGGACAACTATTTAATTAGATATAGCATCTTATCTGCTACTGAAATTATATACCTACACAAGATTTACTGAAATTTCTTGGTAAGAATGTGATGAGCTTTTCCCACAAATTTATCCATCTACATTCCCTTTTTAAAATGCAACATTTTGATTTACAGTTATGTTGACAGTATCTTTGTTCTGTCAAGTATCTTGGATAATTTCTTTTCCCTGTAGCTGACAGATTAAAAACAATTCGAAAATTCTCCTCAGAGGTTATTTAAACAGTATATAACTACATGTTTTAATTACTTAGGTATCAGCTTAAGAGAATAAACTGTTTAGAAACAGATTTACTTTGCAGTTGGGTAGATTATTTTAATGGAAGATTAATACAAGTACTTAATTATCTATAAATGTTTTATGTACAAGAAACTTTTTGTGATTTTTTTAAAGGATACCAATATTAGTTACATGGGGGAAAATTTATACACACATCAGGAAATGTAATTGTTTTGGGAAATTTACATGGTTTAGAGCTCCAATTTCTAAAAGTGATTAGAACTGATTCATATATAGCATTTTCAACTTCGATTCTCTGAAGATACTGAGTTAAGATTTTTTTTCCTGTATGAGGAGTTATTTTGCTTACAATATTCTTGGCCACAAATCATGGAACTAAACTAAAATTCATTTACAACTAATAATGGTCAACACTTATTGAGGAAGTATGACTTTTTTTTTTTTTTTTTTTTGAGACGGAGTCTCTGTCGCCCAGGCTGGAGTGCAGTGGCGCGATCTCAGCTCACTGCAAGCTCCGTGCGGCCTCCTGAGGTTTTACGCCGATGTCGTCTCGTGCCGCAGGACCCTCGCGCGAGTAGCTGGGACTGACAGTCCGCCGCACCCGTTCGCCAAGCTAGTTTTTTGTATTTTTTAGTAGAGACGGGCTTTGGCCCCGCCCCGGGTTGGTCGACGATGTTAGCCAGGGGTGGTGCTCCGATCTTCTAACTGTGATCGCCCGCTCCCTCCCCATGCTGGATTGACCACAAGCCCCGGCGCCGGCCCTTTGTTTTTTTTTTGAGACAGAGTCTTGCTCTGTTGTCTAGGCTGGAGTACAATGGCATGATCTCGGCTCACTGCAACCTTTGCCTCCCGGGTTCAAGCAGTTCTCCTGCCGCGGCCTCCCAAGTAGCTGGTACAACACGCACCATCAGGCCCAGCTAATTTTTTTATTTTTAGTAGAGATGGGGTTTTGCCATGTTGGCCAGGCTGGTCTTGAACTCCTGGCCTCAGGTGATCCACCCACCTTGGCTTCCCAAAGTGGCGTGAGCCACTGCGCCCGGCCGGGAAGTATGAACTTTTTTTTTCACCTACCAATAAGGATTCCTGGAAAGGGATAAACCCATTTGTTTTTGTTAATCTTTCTAAAATTAATGTTAAAATGTTGGCCTTAAATGAGATATTAAATACAGTGTTTTGAAACATTGCTTTTGAAATAATATATGCTTTGTAAGAACTTAATAAAGGATTGTAAGAACTTAATAAAAACCTATTCAGGATTGGAATCATAGAATCTTAAGAGTTAAAATATGTCTCTTCTTACTGCCACCTATTGTCTAAGTGTGAGGCTACTGAGAACAAATTTATTCCTACCTGCTTACAATAACCCTTTAAATATGATCATTATTTTTTTGAATCATGATGACAGCAGAATTCCCACTCCCCAACATCCTTTAATGTGTCTTTAATTGTTTTATGATCTTAAACCCTTCACCATCTTGGTTTCCTTCTTCTGGTTATTCTTGTTTAACAAGGCCCCTCTCATATATATACACACACACACACACACACACACACACACACTATATATAGTCTGAAATATACCATGGGTGGGTATTAACTTTTTGTCCTATCCATTACAATTCTTGTATTTACAGAACAATTTTAGATCATAACAAGGACTCATAAATAATGGAAATGGATGTATTGGAAATTTATCAAAAGAAAGTTTTAATGTAAACTGCAGGAGTAAAAAACTTAAAAATTACAACTTATGACTTTCTCAGAGACTGTATTGAGTTGGGATGAATTGCAAGTTGTGGAGGATAGGGAACCAGGAATCTATTACATTCATGTCTTATTTATTTTTAATAAACAGGAGTAAAATTGAGACTCTGGTCTGTAGGAGATATGACTGAGGATGTGTGATCAGTTGAGCCTCATACTACATTTCTATTCCTAATATATAAAATTTATTTCTTATAGTGCAAATCCCTTCTGGCTAGGAGCTAGGAAATTCTTATATGTTTAAAATAAATTAACCTTTTAAGGCAGCTCTGAAGAAGTAATTTATTTTAAATAGGTGAGCAGTTTATAGCTCTTATAGGAATACTTTTTCCTTATTTTTTTCATCATAGGATTAGACCCTATGTTTTTAATTTAAGTCCTTTAAGTTTTGCTGTTATTGTTTAATTTACTTGATGACCCCATACTGTTAAGTTTTGACCTAGTGAACTTGGGACAGTATATACAAACCGTTTACCTAATTTTAAGGAAACTCTTTTAAAAAATAAGATAGGTTTGATATGAAACAGAAGATTAAATTCATTTCAACTTTCCATGTAGAAAAATATCGTATGTATTTAATCAAAGAACTTTTTCCCCCTTATTGGAGGATGCATTTTTATCAGCATAGAGGTTTTGTTTTTTGTTTTTTAATAATTAGATGTTTATGCCATTGGCAAAACAACCCAAAGCCGACATGACCGAACTGCAATACTTTTAATAAACTGCAAGACTACTAATATAGTAGCTATAAAACCCTTTCCTGATAAGAAATTTTTGTAGTGTATGACTGAATCTAACAATTCTCCCTCTACCTTTATTTATGCTCGTTTACTTTCTTTTATAGAAAAATGAAATTCTTAAAGTTTAAGCTTTTAGATATAAAAAACGTTAGTATATACAGTTAAATTAAGTTCAAGGTTTCTTTTAAACCACTTGATGTAATTTACTTTGTACATAACTTTTATTTGCCTTTTTAAAATTATTATTATTACAATTTTTTTAGACAGAGTCTTGCTGTATCATGCAGGCTGGAGTGCAGGGGCGTGATCTCAGCTCACTGCAACCTCTGCCTCCCCAGTTCAAGCAATTCTCGTTCCTCAGCTTCCCAAGTAGCTGGAATTACAGGCGCAAGCCACCATGCCCAGCTAATTTTTGTATTTTTAGTACAGACAGGGTTTCTCCATGTTGTCCAGGCTGGTCTCAAACTCCTGATCTCAAGTGATCCTCCTGCCTCAGCCTCCAAAAGTGCTGGGATTATAGGCATGAGCCATGGCACCCACCTTATTTGCCCTTTAAACTAGACCTGTGGACTTGCTTTTGAACATTTTCTCTCCTAATTATAAAATACATGTGCATTAAAGAAAACTGAGAAAAAAATCAGGAATGATTGGAAGCCATTGCTTCTGAAGGCCTCTTACCAATATACCTGTCTCCTCATCTCCTTTCCCAGTTGACCAAAGAATGCTCCATGTTTGTCTTTTATGTATATTAGCATGATTGCATTTCATCCAGTTAGCCGTATTTAATACTGTACTTTGTTTCTCTTCAGGAAAATTACAGTTCGATATCTTGTGAGACAGAAGGTTGCATCTTTCAGTCATCAGAGAGCAAAGTAGGAAAGACTTAGAGAAGCAAAGTCCCTCTGATTCACCTAATGATACACTGTTTTTACTTTAAGGGGGCCACGAGGGTGTATTTACTTTCATCATTTTGGGGTGAGGAATGGTTAGAAACTGAAGGAGCATACATAGGTTAAGTATTATCCATGACAGTAGGGTGGGAGTGAATGGAAGCTCATTTATAGCAGTTCTACTTCCTGATTTATGGGTATGTGTGGGTGGTGCGTTTTAAAGAGATTCTGGTGAACTAACAAGGTGTGATAATTGTATTTTGTTATATATCATATTATTGACCCCCAGACTGCTTAACATATAGCTTAATAATTATGGATATCTTTAAATATGCCACATTCACTTTATTAAGAAGTGAACTGATAAGCAACAAGCTGCCATGTGCTGAACAGTATCAGGTACTGGGATAAACACGGGTTTTAAATGCTGCGAATAGTGTAAGCTGTATAGCCTTCATGGTTTGCTAATAAGGTAATCTGTTGTCATTTCATAATTGAAATACTAGGGGGAATGTTGTAAAAATGTTGTAAAAATGCTCTTTATTATTGTTATTTAAATGGAAGTATTTTTGTGTGGTTTTATAGTCATGGTGGGAAATCATGAGCTTTTGGACTAGGGCAGTGATGACTGATATACAAGATGAGAGAAAAATCTGTAATGACTCCCTGGTCCCTGTCCTGGTTGTAGAGTACAATGGTGGTATCATTAACCAGGACAGGGACGAGTGGAGGAGGATCATGGCTTTTGAGAGAGAGAGAGAGAGACAGAGAGAGAGAGAGAGAGAGAGAGAGAGAGAGTGTGTGTGTGTGTGTGTGTGTGTGTATGTTTATGGGTGTGGGATGGAACGCTGGGACAGGAGAGGGAGATGACAAGTCCAGTGAGGACATTTTGAATATGAAAGATTAAGCACTCATGGGATACCTAAGTAGGAAGTTCAGTAAGGAGCTCAACGTACATGACTGAGGCTTAGGAGAAAGGCCTGGGCTGGAAACGGCTATCACTAAATAGGTGGTAGTTGAGATTATGAGGGAAATGGATGCCATTGCTC